ATGGGTCAACAAATTTTACAAATTTCTTTATTCTTTAGATATATAGTTTCTGATTAGTAAAGTTTGTTAAGAAAAAAATGGGCCAGGCGTTTGGTTGTGTTCAAGTGGATCAGTCTACAGTTGCTGTGAAGGAACATTTTGGGAAATTCGATGTTGTGCTTCAGCCCGGATGCCATTGCTTGCCATGGTGTGTGGGATACTAGTTATAGCTGGTTCTCTAACGTTGTGCGTGCAGCAGCTTGATGTTCATTGAGAAACAAAGACTAAGTTTTTTTGTTTTTTTCATCATCATCTATTTACTGCTTGAACATTTTGTCATTCTGTTTTGATCTAATCGAGACTTATCACACGTATCACTATAAATAGGGTGACTGGTACGATTATGCTTGAGGTTTGGCTTAGTTACAGAAAGACCCAACTTTGTTTTATGTTTCATTACAGACAATGTCTGCATATGGATATGAGATAGTGCAAACTTTGATTGTCGACATCGAACTAAATGGCCAAGTCAAGAGAGCCATGAACGAGATAAATGCTGGTACGTTCACGAGCTTGCAAATTTGAAGTTTCATGAATTTTTCATGGTTTGATGTTATTTAAATATGAAAGAAAGTCTACATTTTTTTTTTTTCCTTCAAATGTTGTTAATTTGTGAATTTCATCATCATTTTTTTCCACAATATTCTCAAATTTCTTCTTATTTTCTTTTGCTATGTAAAGATACAATAAGGTTTTCAGAATTTCAAGTAGAAATTACTGCAAATTATGAACCTCTCTGTGGTGTTGAAGAATTGAAAGATGAAGTTTAATTTATTACTACTTATTAGTGATTAGGTGTTGCATGTACGATTTCTGTAATTTGTTTTTTATTTTTATAAGAAAAGAAAAAAAAAATATTTGAATAATAATAATAATAATAATAATAATAATAATAATAATCTATGTATGTCCAATGCTGAATGCCCCAACAGCTGCCAGGCTCAGAGTTGCCGCTAACGAGAAAGCAGAGGCTGAGAAAATTCTCCAGATCAAGCGGGCTGAGGGGGAGGCCGAGTCCAAGTACCTATCAGGCCTCGGCGGCATAGCCCGCCAGCGCCAGGTCATTGTGGATGGGCTTAGAGACAGTGTTCTCGCCTTCCCTGAAAATGTGCCCGGTACCTCAGCTAAGGATGTCATGGATATGGTCCTTGTGACCCAATACTTTGATACTATGAAGGAAATTGGGGCTTCGTCAAAATCATCAGCTGTTTTCATCCCTCATGGGCCTGGGGCCGTTAAGGACATTGCCTCTCAAATTCGGGAGGGCCTTCTTCAAGCTGAAAGCGTTTGATCTCGTCTGTGTTTTCTGCTGTTTTCCCATAGTGTGTGTCCATGTTTGCATGTGAATGTGAAAAAATATGTGTGGATTGAAGGAATTTGATGATTGTGTAAGTTTGTTATGAAATTGTGATTTATTATGTGGATGGACTTAAACTTTTGGAAGTTGTGTCAATGTGCATGAATGGTGAAGGAGGGTCTTTTTTGTAGTAATTCTTTAGGTTATTTTTCCAAGTATCTTTTAAGTTTTTTTTTTCTTTTTTTTTTTT